TGTAATTACCAAAAAGAAACAGATTGGGATACACAGAGATACACAAAGATAAATAGAGAAAGACAGAGATTACGAAATAGATGGATACGAACACACGGAAATAGACTAGGAGACACAGAGAGAGGCAAAGATACGGAGTCACCCGGCACAAAATTTTCGAGAAACTTCGATTCGGACAGGTTCCCAAATTTCCCCGAAATTTGGCCAGGTTCTTTTTTTTCGGAAAGTCGCTAAATTCTGAAGAAATTTGCGGGGCTAACGTCCGGGAAACCTAAGAGCCGCGTCGCCGGAAGCGACCCACAATTAGGGAAAATTTGGCCGGGTGTAATCATATTTATAAAAAAATATATTAAAAAAAATATTTAACTATATTTAAAAATACAATATATTTAAATAATAATTATTTTATTTATTACTAATACAATTTCCTCCTTATCACAAAATATCTCTAATCAAATTCATTATGTTCAAGGCGATTTCATACTTGGGAATGACGGCACAGGAATCACTAGCAGCAACATGGCAATATGCCGAACATAAACGCACTCATGATGATTTGCGGAATCGATATACGGCTCAAAATATTTACGAACCGCTGGTTTGGGAAAATACGGGTGGATTAAATACCGAGGGAAAACGATTCTTTCGATCCCTTAATCGTATGGTGGATGAAAAAAAATCCGAGTTTCATTTTAATTACAGAGAAATCATTATTTGGCATATAAAAGGCATCGGGAGACGGCGTTTAAGTGATTTTGGAAGTGTACTCCAAGGATGATAAACTAGTTTCCTTAATTTTATCTATTGTTTTCGATAAATTCTAAAGTTTTTTGCTTGGGCCCTTGTTATGGGCCGCTAATAACTGAAAAATACATACACTATATATATATATCCCTTATATATTGGGTATGTAGCACAAGGACCAGGTGGCTGGATGTGTGCGTTTCTCAACTGCTGCCTCTGGAGTAGCAATCTTTGACGACAGCAATCTTGAAAGGTTCCAACTCCATTGGGACTCTTCGTACCAAGCCCCCAAGCCCCGGTCCCAAAAATAAGGGCCCATGCAAGAAACCCATTGGCACAAACGGTTTCCTAAATGGGCCCCTATTTTGGGAACTCAAATATTTGGGTCCTTAGTTGCCCTTTTGCTGAAATCAAACTTACAGATTTGCGTTCGTTTAAATTATCGTCTCTCTCGCCAGCAAACCACAAAAATACTAGCCCATAACAGTGACCCATATAAAATTCTTTAAATAAATATTTCGATCATTTCTAATATATAACCGTGTCCTTTATAATTATTTCCTTTAGCTTGTGTTTATTAAAATTATTATTCCTTAAATTATAAAAAATATATATTCCTTTTATAAATTCCCATAACCTAAAAATATATTCAAATAAATAAATATAATCCCTCCTTATATATACCAATCCATATCCTACCAAAAATTATCCAAATGAATTTATTATCCATATTTTATTTATAATAAAAATAATAATAAAAATATTATTATTAATTTATATAATTTTAATAACCCATTCTCCCACATTACTATATAAAAAACAAACAATTATTTATCTTCATTTATTTTCTAAAATTCCTTATATAAAAAATGTTCGTAATATCATACATAATTATCAACATAAACACAACATTTTCATCAAATTGGCTATTAAAAAAACGTTATATCCAACATAAATTTCGTAATGCATATAGAGCTACCGATAAGCCCGTATCAAAGCCTATTCCATAACGCGAATCAAATTAACTATCGAGCATTCTAAATGGCCACTAGTTTTTTCCAACTATATACATGTTTTTTGCCGCAATCTCTCGTCGTTTGTAATTATTACTACTCTTACTATTATTACTACTACTACTACTACTACTACTACTATTACTCTACTACTATTACAACTACTAAAAGTTACTACTACTACTACCACTACTACTGCTACTTCTGCTACTACACTACTACTACTTTCAACTCTCCTTCATGCCGGAAGGACTTGAAGTTTCCTTTTCGCACGACCAAAATTTGGTTGCTGGTGAAATGGGGGGGTTGTCTCGAAGGAGATTAGGCCAGCCATGGCAACGTTTGCCTTTTGGATTCCCCGATCTCCCCAAAGATAAAGAAGCAGAGAAAGAGAAAGAGAAAGAGAGAGAGAAAGAGAAAGAGAAAGAGAAAGAGAAAGAGAAAGGGAGAGAGAAAGAAAAAAAGAGAAAGAGAAAGAGAAAGAGAAAGAGAAAGAAAGAGAAGGCAAGAGAGAGAGAGAGAGGAGCGCTCGGGGTCATAACCCTTTCGATGCCGTTTGTCTCCAATCCTTCATCCACTCAGAGGCTACATCATGTCATTCAGCTGTTACACTTCTCGATTCCCCGCAAAAGCAAATCACTCATGCCGTGCGCAGGCCACCCGGAATTCTAAGTCCCCGTCACACATCAAAGACTGTTTGCGGCAGCATCTTAGGAGTCCCGTGCAAGGCAAACATTTTTTGCAATGAAAGTGTTAGGGGCCCTTTCTGCAGCTTGAGTACATAATCAAAGCGATATTTTGCCCCGACCACGCAAAACGTGACCAAATTTATTGCCCAAATCTAGCCATCGACGAAGCAACCAGTAAGTACCCTTCCTCCAACAATCATGGAAGCTGACACTGGGATTTTGCAAGACTACTTTCCTGTTGGGGAAGCCCTTATCCACTTCAATGATTGTTGGAAAGAGGCGGATCCCAAAAGAACTCGGATGTGCCGTTTTGACAATAGGCGCTGACGAGCCTCGATATGGGGCCCCAGATCCCACACCGCTTGCCTCAAAGCCAAGTCCTAAACCCCTTTGAGTAGACGCTGCTTACATCGGTGACACAGGCTGGTGGACGCCCCCTTCTCGCAAATCCTGCCCAAACTGTCCAGCTGCCATGGGATGAAACTTGGCTGAGCCGCTGCGCCCGGATCTGTTGCGCCATGCCGCGGAAAGGCAACACACGATTCTGAGATCTGGCAATGCCTGGCCGGGCCACGCTCGCAAATCTGGCGTCGCTCAACGCTGCATCTGCGCAGGCCACCGAGCCACGAGCAACTGGCGACCCAATCTGCCACATCCACATTAGCGGAAGGCTTGCTTTGTTTTATCCCTTGCAGGACTCGTTGTAGCCCAACTGACCAAAGGCGACCTCCTCGTTTCACGCCTCCTCCAGGAAACGTCGACACATTCTAATTCAAGTTGCGACTTTGACATCACCGGTGACCAAAGACTTGGCGTTGGTCAGAATCATGGAAGCTGTCACACCCTTTTGGCAGCCGGGCGCAAAAGCTTGCACTGCTTTAGCCCGTCGGTCTGAAGCTGTGCAGGACAAGCCCAAACGGTTGGTAGAGGTAAGCTTTGACGCGGACTCACATGGGTTAAGCATGATCCGGTGTTGACACACAAGTCTGCACTACCCAATCGTCTGCCCCGCAGCGAGCAGCTTTGACTTTGACCTTGTGGCTTTGCTTGAAATGTCAACTGTCGAGCTGAAAGCTTGCTTTGGTTTTGTCCCTTCCAGGACTCGTTGTAGCCCAACTGACCAAAGGCAACTTCCTCGTTTCACGTCTCCTCCAGGAAACGTCGACACATTGCAAGTCAAGCTGCGACCTTGGCATCACCGGTGACCGAAGACTTGCCGTTGGTCAGAATCATGGAAGCGGTGACACCCTTTTGGCAGCCGGGCGCAAAAGCTCGTACTGCTTTCGCCCGTCGGTCTGAAGCTGTGCAGGACAAGCCCAAACGGTTGGTAGAGGTAAGCTTTGACGCGGACTCACATGGGTTAAGCATGATCCGGCGTTGACACACAAGTCTGCACTACAGCAGCTTTGAGTTTGACGTTTGTGTCTTTGCCTGAAATGTCAACTGTCGAGCTGAAAGCTTGCTTTGGCTTTGTCCCTTCCAGGACTCGTTGTAGGCCTATCCGCACACCGTCAACAGCCGCAACGGTAATTGGAAGTTGCGTGCACGCACGGCTTTGGCGCAAGCGCAGTGCACGCCAGACTTGCTAAAGACCTTGGGCAGGCTGTGCTCCAAGTGCCGCAGATCGCACGCTTCGATGCCTGGGCTTAAAAAAGGTGGGGCGGCCCAGCTCTTGCGTGGACACTGCACGAGAATACCGTTTGTGCTTGAAGACCAACGGCGCGGAGGGCACAAAGCTACTGGCGCTTGACCTGCGCATTCGCAAGTTTTGCTGCAGGAATGTGACTCCTGCTCCTCTGTGGAAAGCAAGGCCAAAACTGCTGGAACTGTCCTGCGTCGGTTGGCAGAAACCTTCAAGACATTACTGGACGTCAGCATTGTGCGACGAGATCGTGCAGGCAGCGACGGCAGAGCTCGCGGGATGATCATAATTACGTCCTCGAGACCTGGTTCCAGGGAGTGTCGCAACTGCTCCAAAAACTTGCGAACACGCAGCCAGGACATTTTCGTGACCTCTCGCTTTGTGGCAACATGGACGGGTCGCTGCAGCCTGGTGGTTTGCGCAGGTTCAGCTCTATATTTCGGCTACGTCAGTATTGCTGGATTTACAATGGTGGTTTTTGTAAATCAACGGGATGCTCTGGCCTACTGCGGGCACGCTCCCGTTTGTTATCCCCACAACTTACCAAGTGACCAAAGGCGACTTCCTCGTTTCACGTCTCCTCCAGGAAACGTCGACACATTGCAAGTCAAGCTGTGACCTTGACATCTTGCCGTTGGTCAGAATCATGGAAGCGGTCACACCCTTTTGGCAGCCCGGCGCGACAGCTTGTACTGCTTTAGCCCGTCGGTCTGAAGCTGTGCAGGACAAGCCCAAACGGTTGGTAGAGGTAAGCTTTGACGCGGACTCACATGGGTTAAGCATGATCCGGCGTTGACACACAAGTCTGCACTACAGCAGCTTTGAGTTTGACGTTTGTGTCTTTGCCTGAAATGTCAACTGTCGAGCTGAAAGCTTGCTTTGGCTTTGTCCCTTCCAGGACTCGTTGTAGGCCTATCCGCACACCGTCAACAGCCGCAACGGTAATTGGAAGTTGCGTGCACGCACGGCTTTGGCGCAAGCGCAGTGCACGCCAGACTTGCTAAAGACCTTGGGCAGGCTGTGCTCCAAGTGCCGCAGATCGCACGCTTCGATGCCTGGGCTTAAAAAAGGTGGGGCGGCCCAGCTCTTGCGTGGACACTGCACGAGAATACCGTTTGTGCTTGAAGACCAACGGCGCGGAGGGCACAAAGCTACTGGCGCTTGACCTGCGCATTCGCAAGTTTTGCTGCAGGAATGTGACTCCTGCTCCTCTGTGGAAAGCAAGGCCAAAACTGCTGGAACTGTCCTGCGTCGGTTGGCAGAAACCTTCAAGACATTACTGGACGTCAGCATTGTGCGACGAGATCGTGCAGGCAGCGACGGCAGAGCTCGCGGGATGATCATAATTACGTCCTCGAGACCTGGTTCCAGGGAGTGTCGCAACTGCTCCAAAAACTTGCGAACACGCAGCCAGGACATTTTCGTGACCTCTCGCTTTGTGGCAACATGGACGGGTCGCTGCAGCCTGGTGGTTTGCGCAGGTTCAGCTCTATATTTCGGCTACGTCAGTATTGCTGGATTTACAATGGTGGTTTTTGTAAATCAACGGGATGCTCTGGCCTACTGCGGGCACGCTCCCGTTTGTTATCCCCTCAACTTACCAAGTGACCAAAGGCGACTTCCTCGTTTCACGTCTCCTCCAGGAAACGTCGACACATTGCAAGTCAAGCTGTGACCTTGACATCTTGCCGTTGGTCAGAATCATGGAAGCGGTCACACCCTTTTGGCAGCCGGGCGCAAAAGCTCGTACTGCTTTAGCCCGTCGGTCTGAAGCTGTGCAGGACAAGCCCAAACGGTTGGTAGAGGTGAGCTTTGACGCAGACTGACATGGGTTAAGCATGATCCAGCGTGGACAAACAAGTCTGCACTATCCCATCTTCTGCCCGGCAGCGAGCAGCTTTGACCTTGACCTTGTGGCTTTGCCTAAGATGTCGACGGTCAAGCTGAAAGGTTGATTTGGTTTTGTCCCTTCCCGGACCAGGCATTGGGGTTGCAACCCGACTAATCAAAGGCCACTTCCTCGGTTCACTGCTCTTGCTGAAACCTCCCTCTTTGCAGGCAAAGCTGGGACTTTGACATCGCTGCCCCGCATCACGGGACTGGGCACACCTAGCAAAACTTGCCAGCTGCCGTGGCTGGAAAGAAACTGCACCAATTGAGAGGAAACACGGTGAGTTCCCATACAGGCCAGCGGAAAGTCCAGTCTGGCGCCACCTGAACGATCCAGGAAGATTCCGCAAAACAAGCGTCGGCTTTGAACCAGAAGGCCACCAAGAGAGGGTGTTGAAAAGCGCACTTCCTGTGTTCACGTCTCTTCCGGGAAACGTCGCACATTGCAGCTCAAGCTGGGACCTTGACATCACTGCCGCTCTGCCAAAAAGCCAACACCTGCCATTTGGTCAGCATCATGGCAAATGGCAAATCGGGTGATTCATGAAGCAACTACCATGGTGGAAGGGCCCTTCGACATCGAAATGGCAACAACTTGCCAGCTGACGTGGCTGGAAGAAAAATGCGCCAATTAAGCGGAATTACGGTGGGTTCCCATAGAGGCCAGCGGAAAGTTCAGTCTGGCGCCACCTGAACGATCCAGGAAGATTCCACAAAACAAGCGTCGGCTTTGAACCAGAAGGCCACCAAGAGAGGATATTGCAAGGTCCCAGCTCACAACCTCAGGTGGACTGCTTCACCTGCCAAGCTTGCCGGACTGCTTTGCAGCCTCTTGGGGTTCCCACGCGGCTCCAGGCGCGGTTCCCCGCTATACTTATTACACCGCAGGAAATAGGCTGCCTTTGGACTTTGCGCCTGGATTCAACACGTTGCGCCAACTTGCATTGCACATTCTTTGGAAGTCCTTGCTCATCCAGTGGCAGCTATTTGGGCCTTAAGCGGATTGTTCCTTAAGCGGATTGTTGTGGGTCGGCTGTTGTTTCTTGTTTGCTTTGGCTCTGAAATCGACTTCAATCAGCGTCGCATCAGCCAAAGGAGGAGGCAAAGTGGGTCGGCTGCTGCTTTCTATTTGCTTTGGTTCTTCAACAACTTGGACCGGCGTCGCGCAAAGCCAAGGGCGACGGCAAAGTGACAGTTCTATCTGTTTTTGGCGCGTACCCTCTTGGTGGCCCTCCATTCTTTGACGAGATTTGCTCTAAGCACTGTCGCAGTTGGCAACTACAAGTCTTTGATTGATCAAAAATACCTCGCCAACGAGCTTGACAGGCGACTCGGGAATCACGAAATCATACTGTCAACGGCCTCACCCCCAAACAACATGCCCAGTATCTAGGAAAATGGGAAATAGGACGGAGATGACCTCACGTCAAATCCAGCATGGGGGTAGCTCTTGCCTACCTGATATCACGGTTGACGCGCCATGGACTGGGGTCTTACAAGCCACCCACAGTGCTGCAGCCAGCCGTTGTTCGCCTTGATTGCTGCTCACCAAATGCTCAGGTCACAGCTGCGCCGACTCCGGCATGCAAATTGCGCGGCCCAGCGTTGACAGAAAGTCTTCAACATCCGACCATCCGCGAGTTCGGCGCAGTGGCCCGAATCACACACCTTGCGCAAATAATATTTTGCCTGTCAGCGAGGAGGTTGACTTTGGAGCGCACTTCCTGTGTTCACGTCTCTTCTGGGAAACGTCGCACATTGCAGCTCAAGCTGGGACCTTGACATCACTGCCGCTCTGCCAAAAAGCCAACACCTGCCATTTGGTCAGCATCATGGCAAATGGCAAATCGGGTGATTCATGAAGCAACTACCATGGTGGAAGGGCCCTTCGACATCGAAATGGCGTCAACTTGCCAGCTGACGTGGCTGGAAAAAAATGCGCCAATTAAGCGGAATTACGGTGGGTTCCCATAGAGGCCAGCGGAAAGTTCAGTCTGGCGCCACCTGAACGATCCAGGAAGATTCCACAAAACAAGCGTCGGCTTTGAACCAGAAGGCCACCAAGAGAGGATATTGCAAGGTCCCAGCTCACAACCTCAGGTGGACTGCTTCACCTGCCAAGCTTGCCGGACTGCTTTGCAGCCTCTTGGGGTTCCCACGCGGCTCCAGGCGCGGTTCCCCGCTATACTTATTACACCGCAGGAAATAGGCTGCCTTTGGACTTTGCGCCTGGATTCAACACGTTGCGCCAACTTGCATTGCACATTCTTTGGAAGTCCTTGCTCATCCAGTGGCAGCTATTTGGGCCTTAAGCGGATTGTTCCTCTTAAGCGGATTGTTGTGGGTCGGCTGTTGTTTCTTGTTTGCTTTGGCTCTGAAATCGACTTCAATCAGCGTCGCATCAGCCAAAGGAGGAGGCAAAGTGGGTCGGCTGCTGCTTTCTATTTGCTTTGGTTCTTCAACAACTTGGACCGGCGTCGCGCAAAGCCAAGGGCGACGGCAAAGTGACAGTTCTATCTGTTTTTGGCGCGTACCCTCTTGGTGGCCCTCCATTCTTTGACGAGATTTGCTCTAAGCACTGTCGCAGTTGGCAACTACAAGTCTTTGATTGATCAAAAATACCTCGCCAACGAGCTTGACAGGCGACTCGGGAATCACGAAATCATACTGTCAACGGCCTCACCCCCAAACAACATGCCCAGTATCTAGGAAAATGGGAAATAGGACGGAGATGGCCTCACGTCAAATCCAGCATGGGGGTAGCTCTCGCCTACCTGATATCACGGTTGACGCGCCATGGACTGGGGTCTTACAAGCCACCCACAGTGCTGCAGCCAGCCGTTGTTCGCCTTGATTGCTGCTCACCAAATGCTCAGGTCACAGCCGCGCCGACTCCGGCATGCAAATTGCGCGGCCCAGCGTTGACAGAAAGTCTTCAACATCCGACCATCCGCGAGTTCGGCGCAGTGGCCCGAATCACACACCTTGCGCAAAGAATATTTTGCCTGTCAGCGAGGAGGTTGACTTTGGGCTCGGCCCGATATTTCAGACCGCGGAGGCTCCCATAGCCCAAGAAGGCTGGAGCTCTGAAAGGCAAAGCCTTCTGAAACAAGTCGCAAGGAAGGCTTTAGCTGAAGATTGAAAGACATTTCCATGCGTACCATGCATGACGGTCTGCGCCAGCTGCGCGTCGGCACAAAATCTCAATGCCTGCATCGTTGGTGATTTGGATTGAAAGTGACTACGGAAGGCCTCTGTTAGACAGGTGCTCAGCCCCATTTGAGCAAATGAAGCATCGCAGCGCTTTGGACGCAGTCAGTCCCCCTGTAGGACAGCGATTACTTTCGCATTTCGCCTATTTGGAAGGGAAACACGACAACGCCACACCAAGCCCTCCGCGACCCAGGGCCGAGTTCAAGGCCCAACCAAACCACACACCGTGCACAAAGAATGACTTTCATACCAAGCCCTGCAAACCTGGACATCACTGCCCCGCTGCAAATCACAAAAGGCCTACCGGTACTCAGCCTCATGGAAGCGGTCACACCCTTTTGGCAACCGTGGGTTAAGCATGATGCAGCGCGGACAAACAAGTCTGCACTATCCCATCTTCTGCCCTGCAGCGAGCAGCTTTGACCTTGACCTTTTGGCTTTGCCTAAGATGTCGACGGTCAAGCTGAAAGGTTGCTTTGGGTGTGTCCCTTCCCGGACCAGGCATTGGGGTTGCAACCCGACTTATCAAAGGCCACTTCCTCGGTTCACTGCTCTTGCTGAAACCTCCCTCTTTGCAGGCAAAGCTGGGACTTTGACATCGCTGCCCCGCATCACGGGACTGGGCACACCTAGCAAAACTTGCCAGCTGCCGTGGCTGGAAAGAAACTGCACCAATTGAGAGGAAACACGGTGAGTTCCCATACAGGCCAGCGGAAAGTCCAGTCTGGCGCCACCTGAACGATCCAGGAAGATTCCGCAAAACCAGCGTCGGCTTTGAACCAGAAGGCCATCAAGAGAGGGTGTTGAAAAGCGCACTTCCTGTGTTCACGCCTCTTCCGGGAAACGTCGCACATTGCAGCTCAAGCTGGGACCTTGACATCACTGCCCCTCTGCCAAAAAGCCAACACCTGCCATTTGGTCAGCATCATGGCAAATGGCAAATCGGGTGATTCATGAAGCAACTACCATGGTGGAAGGGTCTTTCAACATCGAAATGGCATCAACTTGCCAGCGCGGAAAGGCCAGCGGAAAGTTCTGTCTGGCGCCACCGGAACGATCCAGGAAGATTCCGCAAGACAAGCGTCGGCTTTGAACCAGAAGGCCACCAAGAGAGGGTGTTCAAAAGCGCACTTCCTGTGTTCACGTCTCTTCCGGGAAACGTCGCACATTGCAGCTCAAGCTGGGACCTTGACATCACTGCCCCTCTGCCAAAAAGCCAACACCTGCCATTTGGTCAGCATCATGGCAAATGGCAAATCGGGTGATTCATGAAGCAACTACCATGGTGGAAGGGTCTTTCAACATCGAAATGGCAT